CCACTCTGAACAACACAAATGGGATCATATGTGCAGCGGCACGCTCAGCTGCTGCGTATCTGCTCAAAACCTCAGAGAATCTTTAACACTTTACACATCCACATCTCTCCTCTCTGCACTGTTTTCCATTTAAACAATTGTGTTCAAAATTTTCAAGATAGTCTATGTCCTGGGGCAGTATCTAAAAAAATGTCTTTCAGAACTAGAACTGTTGCAGATATCCCTGTCTCACAATCCACCTGAAGAAGGCATTTCTACTTTCCCAGTAGGAAAACGAGATCATGGCCAAGTAGGAAAATCCCCAAGCTGAACACTGTCAAAACTCTGCCCTGCAGTCAGAGTCCTCCCATTTGGAGTGAAGGAAGAGAAAACCACCTATAACAAAAGCAACGCTTCTCAGTAGAGGGTGTTGTGGAAGTAACAGTCAGAAAATGATGCCCACAGCACCAAAGAGAAGTGCAGCTTCTTGAGAAGTGACATTGCCCATCCCGCAGCTACAGGACTAACAGTGCAAATGCTCCTGCTTCTGGTAGGCAGCACCTTGCTCTGCTTAGCTCAAGCCCATTCTGAAGAGTACAGTGAACCCCCTGCACTGGTACAGCTAACACTCTCTGGAAAACACCACCAGACCTACCAAAACGTTGATGACCCCTTGCTGTCCCCCTGCACTGACACAGCTCTGTATCGCTTACTTCAATGTAAATCACTCCAATCATCAAAATGACAGGTGAAGAAAGGAAAGGAGGGACTTCTCCCTTCTCAGGTTTGCTCTCTTGTCTCCGTCGGGGATTCCTTTACTGCAAACAGCTCGAGTATTATTGCCATTTACAGTAGCAATCACTCCGTCCCCTCCTCTCCCACAAACCTACTGCTGATATTAGCACTGATCATACTAACAAGCCCGTGGGTTTTATTACTACTGATACTAATAATACTGGACACATTACGTCTGCTCCTGCCAATAACAGGCTGCAGATATGATCCCTGCTAATGCCGATAATACTGGGGGATATTATCTCTGCCATTGTCGGCACTGCAGATATTATTGCCAGTAATGCTGTCAAATACTACAGATATTGTCATGGACTAAGATTAATAATGCTGAGGTAGTTACAGCAACAGTCGCACTGGAATACAAATCCCAAATGAAAATTTGGGTCTGTAAAGGAAGTCTGTTTGTAGCCTGCTATAGAGAGAAAGAGCTATTTCTAATAAGAGTGGTTTTGTAAAGATCCCCAAAGTTTCACTCAGCTGGAGATGCTGTGGTATGCAGGGAACAGTTTGAAATGTTGTTTTCATATTATCTAATTATCTGTCTATCCATCCATTTATCTATTCATCCTTCCCTTTCTCCCCATCTCTCCCTTTTTCTCCTTATACAGTGCTCAAGACTACAGTATGAGTGATACTAATTTTTTATTAGTGCCTCTGGGTCACCCCAATTCTCATTCTTTTAGCTATCAATCAGATATGGTTATGGAACAACAGAAATACCTGCATATTATTTTTTCCCCTTTACTCTTCTGTACTTCTTATCGCTGCTCCTTGGTCTGACAATGACCTGGCTGAGCTTGGCCTGCCGTCACAGCATAGTACAACATTAGGATCATGAAGAGCCAGAATTCCTATTTCCAGCTGCAGCTTGATACTGCAAGACCCTCAGAGGTCTTGGGAAAGTCATTACATGCAGCAGGGCCACTTCTGCCTCTGGAATATGGTGAGTGTGAGTGGTGGGGAAGGTCAGAGGGAAATTACAGCAACATTGGCTGTGTCCATAGACTGCAAGAAACGGCACACACTATGTTACACAAGGGGTGGTGAACTTAGCCAAACTGTGTAAAAAATCATAGAGACCAACTCCTTGCTTTGTATCTAATCTGTCACTGAAGTAAGAGGGTTTACAACCACTGGTCAAAAACTGCAACAAAAGGAATACATGGTCTTAACAGGGCAAATCCTGACCATCCTTCCTAGGCACTCACCTGAGGAAGACACGCTGAGTTCTGAGGAAAGACCTGTGACCTGGCAGTTCCTGGTTGTCACTAGAAGACACTGCTAGCTCTCTCTCAATGCCATAGTCTTCCCAGGTCACCCTTGCAGTTGCAACCAACAGATTTGGTAGGTTGGGATTTCCCCTCTTCCCTCTAACTCCCTGTGAGGATCACACCTGGCTGTCAGCGTCCATCTCTGAGCCCACCTCATGCATCTGTCTGGCTCCTTCTGTCCAACTTGGGAGTTCTGCTACATCATCTTGACACATAATTATCTCTCCTCTTCTTAATCATCTGTGCTACTGCCTAATGTAGGCACCAGCTGCAGCAAGGAGGACCTGAGGGAGGGGGTGTGCTCCTCTATCTTTCTCCCACCCTGTTTCCCCCAGCCATCACAGAGGTTGCTAACAAGGTTTTCAGAACCAGGGATTCAGGAGCAGCTTGGTACTTCCCCCCTTTCTGCTGAACTGCACTCCTCACAGAGGAATCCTTGCAGCAGAGCTGGTCCAACAGAGCGGAAAGAAAGAGAGAGCAGTGCTGCTGATTCTTCCTTCTTTAGGGAAGAGCCACCCCCAAAATGCTGGGAAAGCAGATGTGCACTGGGAGCTCATAAGGGCTTTTCAATGCAAGAATTGAAAGAACCGGCAACAAAACAGTGCTCAGAAGCTCTGGGAAATACTGAGAAGGCGTGTGCATCCAGCAGGAGCATGAAAGGAATACCTGCACTGGCTTTCTTGCCTGGCTTTCCTAATCCTCATCTCAGCTAGGAACAACTGGAGCCCTCAGAGCTACAGGGGAGATTGCCCAGGAGGGAATGCAGGTCACTGACTGTGCAAAACCTCCCCTTTGACCCTTCTAGCCTTGGGACCCAACCTTGCAAAGTCATGATGTCTTTCACCATTTCTTAAGGCCAGTGTGAGTCCAGATAACTCAGCTCTTGGCTAGGGGTGTTCAGCAGCTGGCAGGGGGGTCCCATGCCAGGTTTCTCTGGGACAGGAGCATGACATCTCCCTGAAGCAGGTATCTGAGATGGCAGGATGAAGGCTGTTCTCTAAGGCAGTTGTAGCTGTGTCATGTAACTACCACGTAAAACTCAGAGGTAAAGACAAGCAACGTCTCTGGGATTGTCTGGTACCTTTTGATTCCTAGTGGGATATGTGGGCTCTAGGCCAACAGCAGGGAGTTGCAGAGTGTTGCTTGCCCTTCATAAATCAAATCTGGGATGAATTAAGGACAGACACAGAGAGCTGTGTCTGTCAATATATCATTATGAAGTATCAGTCTTAGATGGCTGCTTAACCAAGTTTCTGTGTTTAATTGTACTGCTCCAAAAGAGCTCCGGTTCTCAGGCTGGAGGTGGCTGTGTGGCTGCATCTGCAGTGGGATGATCCTCCCAGGTATTTGGAAAGAATAGCTGCTAAAGCCAGATTGAACTGCTTCATTTCAAAATAAGATATGGAGGCACCATATTGAGAGCTGGTGATCACCATGCTAGACTGTATGAGAACAGGGGTTCACAAAACCCCCAAATAACTGCCAAGAGATTTGGACAACCATTAGAGAAACTTGTCACTCCACTTGAAATGTCACTATTTCCTGTATATGTAATGATGGGAAATGCTGGAAGGGTTTGCAATGTTTGCAGTCTCATATTCCTGACTTTTTTTTTTTACTTTGAGGCATTGACTCAGCCCTTCCATTGCTACATTTTTCTCTTAGCTGGGCCCTACTGCCATCTAGCTGGGAAATGGATCTTCCTCTGGGGCCTGATCCAATTTCCAATGACATCAGCAAAAATCTTCCCAATTGCTTTAATAGAAACCGGATTGGATCCTTGCCTCTAGTTTAACTTTGCATTAGGGAGAAAGGGGTCATGATGACTGCCTTTTTTTCTTGGGATTATTGTGTGTGTTTGGATCAAAAACTTAAAGAACCTCACCAGAACCAATGCTGAGAAAATGACTAGTAAAACCCCAAAACACAGCATCTCTCTCAGGAGAGCTTTCTCTTCTCACCACATACCACAGTGAACCCTCACGTTCTCTTGCATCACACAGCCCTGGGGTTACAGCGCACGCAGCACACTGAGCCACCTGTACTGCTAAGAGGTCCCCCCGTGCAACACACAACAGTGGAAAACAACATACCAAAAGCAGGGCTGAACCGAACAAACCGGTCAGGCACTACTCTTAGAAAAGTTCACCGATTTTTGAATGCATCCAATTAAAAGAGCAAGATTTAAGAAAAAAATTTTACAAAGCCACCACAAAAGCACCAAGACCTTACCCACCCCTCCTGACTCAGTCTATCTAGACCTGAGGCTCCAGCTTTTGGCTCATTTCAGGATTCGCTTTGCCCTGAGTCCTTGCCAGCACGTAGGAAAGAAAAGGAGATAGCTTAATCCTAATTCCTGAGCACCCTAGTGAAAGGCTTAGATAACAACCTAGGGGGCACAGTACTCAGAAGACCTCCTGTTCTGCTTTCAGACTGTTGCAAGCGTGGCAGTTCTGCTGTGGTAGATGCTACCCATTGAAAACTGAGCCCTTGTGATCATCAGCTACTGTAGCTCATGGAACGTCACAGGGCAGGAACTTGTTTGCAAGGGGAATGAAAGATAATCCCACATTGCTGGTGCTTCTCCAAGATGGCATTTTGTTTGAAAACAAGTGAGTCAGGGAAACCATGTTTACCCACAGTTCAAAGTCCGGGCACCTGCTGGCACCTGGGGAGTTCAGTTCCAGCCATTTCCAGCAGTGAATGAACTTGGGATCAGCTCCAGCAATGGAGACGGCTCTCTGCCTGCCGAGCAGATGTCTGGAGATGCAGCCTGTCATGAAAGGGCCTCGGAAGAAGAGCATTCCATGCCAGCAGGGCAGTGGCGGGGAACTGGTCTCTGTTGCTAAAACTGATCTAGGCCCTGGAGCAGCTGCAAACCTTGGCCTGAAATTGGAGCCTGTACATGGGGACAAAGAATATAAAAGGGAGGATGAGCTTCTCCCCTCCCCCTACCTTCATCACGTTTCCTCTTCTCGCCATTCGACCGAGGAATCCCCAGGATCCCGTTAATGGAGTAAGAGCCCACTGGATCATTGGAGGCACTGGAGACGGGAGGGGATGCTGTGCTGGGCACTGCACAAAAGGAAAAGTGAAAAAGGGCCATGAGGAGAGCAGCACAGCACTCAGGGATCTGCCGGCTGAAAGCTACGCATGCCACCAGTTTCATAGGAAAGCCTGGGCACTAAGCAGACTCGCAGCCCCTCACACTGAAGGACTCATACTCGCTCTACTGCTAATGTTCCTGCATCCCAGATTTGCCAGTCCATTCCTATACCATAGCTCCACAGCCTTCCAGTACAAGACCATCAATAACAAGCAAGTGTATTCCATCAAGAAGCTAAACCTTGTTGTTATATCTCAGTTCAGAGCAGACTTCCCAGTGCATGCCACGGTATCTGAGTAATGCTGCATAGGCCACATTTTCTAGGAACTTCCTAGTCCATCTGTATGTTACCAGATCATTTCCTCTCAGCATTTTTCCACCAGGAGAGCACATGCTCTCTTTTAGCCAGGCCAGCCTCTTATGTGTCTACCCAAGACACTCATTGAAAGATTACCTTCTTAGGATAGGTTAGAAGCACTTCAGTGTTGGGCCAATAAATTCAGTTCCCTACTAGCACAAACGGTGAGTTGGTGATACATACTCCAACCCAGAGTAATAATAGAAATCTAGTGTCTTCCTTTTTGCACTGATCAATGTCCACAGACTGTCTCATCCTGCCACTCAGGGCTGTCCAAGGTTGCTCATGAGCTTCCAATATATCAGAAATGACAAGTCAGACAGATTAGAAATTATCACTTCATGATATTCAGGGCTTTGGAGTACAGAACAAGTAGAGCTATGCATCCAGTAGGAATGCACATTATGTCCCAGTGTGTCCCAGTAATGGAGAGAATATCCCAGTGCTCTTATAGACCACTACCCATCATTCACCTCATAAAGCACTAACCTGAAGCAATTAATACCTCCAATACAAGCATTCCAGGATGGAGAAGAACCTGCCAGTGCTATCCAATGTAGACCCACACTTCCCAGTACATGCCAGAGCAGTGAGAGACTCCAGCAGCAGCACTCACGATCGCTATCCCAGCTCAGCCAATGCATTCCCTAGACATCGCACTACTTTTCCAAGAAGAAATATTATCTGCCAACACCATCTGTTGTGGTCAGTGGTTCCCAGTCCAGTGAGCAAGTCCAGATTAAAAGGGCATCCAGAAATGCTCTTCCATAAGCCCATTAATTCCACTGTGCTCCTGAACGCAATTCACGTACAGGATTCTAGGAATTATATCAGCCAGCTCTGCCCCATGTAGACCAGCACCTTCCAGTAAATCTTTGTATAGCAGCTGATTCTCAATAACCAACAGTATCTAAGGCAGTGTCTTAGGCCACAAATAAGCCACTGTATTTCACAGTATCCCAGAATACTGCATGTTTTTTACTGGTCTGAATTGTTACTGGATAAAGCTATGCTAGCAACAGCAGACATATGCACCATACAGCCCACAGAGTGAAAAGTACCTCATCACACATCTAGCACAGTACCTTTAAACACAACAGACTAGGAGATGTTTAGGCACTTTATTACAGTCTCCATCTCCTGCTCACCTCAATAAACCCATCTCCCCCAGCAGAAAATGCATTTTCTCAGTGAAATACACCCATGGGATACCTGACTGCAGAGCTAGAACAATGAAGAACTCAGTTGTGAGACATCAGGAATATCTTTCCTGTATCTGTGTATTACTAGCTTTAAGAAATGGATCAGTTCCAGCAAAGGGAGAGAAGAGAAACTGGGAGAGAGAGGGGAAAAGTCAGAGTAAGAAGGAGACGAAAGGTGAAGACTGGTGCTTAGACAGGATAGCGGCAAATACTTCTCTCTAGGGAGGCGAAGGAGAGAGTGTGAACGTGAAATGGATGTTAAGGCAGAATCACGTTGGGCATAACCCTACCTTGGGCTGGTTTCTCTTCTATGATTCCCTTTTCTGCAATGCAACAAGGGAAACGAAGAACAGAAACCTCTGATTTCCACTGAGGTTTCTTTCCCCCCACCTCCTCCTCCCTTTTGCTCTGCTTAGAGTCTGCTTGTCAGACTTTGTTCCCTCAGCTAAGCTTCATCCTCATTTCTACTTGTTCTGTCAGCACCCCTTGTGCCAGTCCGCTTACCGATGGTATGTCCTGGTGCAGTCACACCGGTCCCGCTCCCGTCTGGTGTTGGGTGAAAAGGTTGCTGAACTTTGGTTCTGATGATCCTGGAAAAGAACAAAACATGTTCAGAACTCAACTGCAGCTCCTCTCTGCCATTGCATACCTGCTGTCCCAGCTATCGGAACCTGAAGGCCTCATCTGAGCTCTGAGTGCAGCACAGTGGCTTCATTGGCCTTCTTCTGGTCCTGATTCTACTGTTTTAATGGGCCAGTTCCCAGAGGAGTGTCCTTGCTCTGCTCCGTTATCTTTTCCCCAAACTTGGGTATTCACTGCATAACTATGGTGCTCAGTGAATAAGCTAGGACCTCCTGTGCGTCAACAACTGCGTTATCATTTATGATCTGATCTGCCAGCATCATCACAAGGCAATCTTTGCAGCTAACAGAGCCACTGCTGGATTTACAAATGGTGTAGATTTAATTTTGTTGTGTACCTAAAAAATACCTTTCTGGCATAGAACTGAATGCTTTGAACTGATGGAAGGCTTGCCCAAAGCCCTTGCCGCTCATAAATAAGAAGGTGGGAGCAGAAGGCATCCGTAGGAAGTACTGATGGGATATAAATCACCAGGAAAATGACACTCCAGCAAAGAGGGCAAAAATTGGTGTTTATCAGGTGGTGAATGAACACAGCATGGGAACTCAAAAAGATGTCTTAGTGAATGCCACAACACTTATAATGCAGCTCAGAAGGAAAATAAACTGAACTGTAATTGTCAGTGCTCCGTTTCTTGTTACATGAAATCTTTCACCTCTAGGTCACTGGTTTAAATCCAGCTGAGGTCAGTGGTGAAAGAAAATCACTATCACCTAGTACTTGACTGGCGAGGTCCCTGCCTGCTGGCAGTTGCTGGGTATCTGTGACTTGGGAATGGCTGTCTCACCAAGGAACTCGGCAAATAGGCCATGACCTATGGAGGCCATGGAGACCAAATTCCTTTCTGAGATTAAAATGAGCCTCTCCAATTAGGGTGAAGGCTGCAGATGCTCTTCAGCCTGACTTTCTGGAACTCTCTGCCCTGCATTATATTAGCTTTAACTTCTCCCCAAAAATCTCTCCAGAAAGTGAAAGCAAATAACACATTCTCTCTGCCCACCTGAGAGCTTCACTTACAGATTTGTGCTAAAGAATAAGTTGGCAAAACTTCAAAGAGCAAATCTGTGGCTAGTGGGCAGCACAGCATGGATAGAGACAGGCAGAGATGTTGAGAGGGCATTTTTGAAAAAACACAGCTTCTGAGAGTGAAACCTTCTTAGGAAAGGACATTCACAAGGTATTTCACAGCCTATCACCTCAGCATGTTAGGAGACTCGGATACACGCATGATGAAGCCTGGGACATAGCTGGAGACAGGGAATGTCAAGGTTCCTACTGGGGATGGAGATCCAGATCCTCACCCCATACAGGTCAGTGGTACCAGGGGCCCTAATGCTGCTGAGGACCTAGACAGACACCTATACAGTTGTCTGAGGGCCTCAAGGCCAGATTCTGAGGTCATGCTGATGTGCACTGAGGAGCTGATCTGAGAAGTCTGTGCTAGGGCAAATAACATAACTTTTTTCTTCTTTTCTGTTTTTTTGTTTCTTTTCTCTTCTCTTCTCTTCTCTCACATTCCCCCTAAAACCCCCTGAAGTGCCACTCTGGTTGTGTGAGTTTATTGATTTCCCCCAGCCCAGAGAAACAGAAAGAGGGAATGGGGTGCAGGCAAAAGGGATGGAAATAGAAAGCTATAAATTATTTGTGACAGGAAAGCAATAGTGCCAGAGTGCTGAGCACAAGTCCCGTGTCACTATTAGATTCCTTTTAGCCTGATGACACTGTAAAAGAGGTTAAGTGTCTGATGGAATCGTACACCTTGGGGGCAGGGGCAGTCCAGGAGCAGAACAAGCCACAGAGAGCGGGTATATCAATTCTCCAGGCCAATAATATTCCACTCATTGATCGCAACACAAAGTTCAAAAATCTCATTATAGCCAGGCAGACCTGGAACTTTTTAAAAATCAATAGAGTGATATAATGTATGTATACTTTGTATAAATGTATCTATCCATCCATCCATCCATCTGTCTATCCAAAATCTGCCTGAAGGTGTCTAAGTTAACCTACACATTATACTGTGTTATGTTCTTTTGTAGCAGAGCATAGTGAATGGATTAGAAGATTTCCCCTGCAGCCTTAGATGACATATTAGAAAACATCCTGTTAGCACTGATGTGACATCAGATGGTTCCATTCATACTGAGATGTGACATCAGATTCACCATTTGTACTCTAAACTGAGTTTAGAGGTGGCATCAGGCAGCTCAGCTTCTACTAAGATGAGTCTGATTATACCGAGATGGCAAATCAGGCTGTGCTGAATCATGCTGCATGAAAATGGCAAAGTTTCAAAAAGCCATGTAGAGTAAAAAGAGCCTGTGAAACAGTGGTGGTATAAAATGTCTGTCCATAATGCTTCAAAAACCTAGGCAGGCTACAAAGAGGAACGTTCAGTTTCCTTCCCCATTCAGTTCGTGGTCTCTCAGCTGAAAATGCCACTTAGTGCCAGTTGTGACTGTGCTTAACTGAGATGTGTCTCTTAGGAACTGGACTGAGACTCGCCAGCTCATTTCACCAAGGAGCCGTCAGCTGGTAATGATTTTTGGTCACTATCAACCAGGGCCAGATTTCAGCTAGTGACCCAGAGGTGAAAGGTTCTATTCAAAAACGTTCCCCTCTCAAGAATGAAACTGGTTTTATGTCAAGAGAAAGTGTCTGGAAACAGTGAGCAAAGGGGAGCAGTCCTGGTTGTGCAACCTCCAGTGGCTTAAATCAAATAATTCTTTGCATCAAATGCAAAGCAAATCTAATGAGGTCTCGGGTAGAAGGTATTTCCTAAAAGCATGTCAGGTCATGAAGAGGCTTTCCCCAGCAGCGCTCCTTTGCCCTACAGTCATGACCGAACTCTAGTGTTGTAGGGAAGGAGGAGAAATTTCAGGACCCTAACGCTCAGTACAGAATGTGGCAGTGCATCCCCCTGGGTCGATTCATTTAGGGACAGGGATAAGCAGCAGGAAAAGTAGTCATCACTACCGCTGCTTTCAGAGGCTTCAAGTGAGTCTGTCCTACACAAGACAACCTAATGAAACAGCAGACAAAAGATGAAGAGAGCTGACCTGGTCCTGCAGCAACAGATGCAGCGTAATAATGCTGTCTTTAAACTTCAGGATTGCTGAAAGCTTCTCACTCTTACAAGAGGCTGAAATGCACACTAAGCCAGTTCTGCTGCCTCAAACCTAGGATTTCTGGATTACTGCTGTGTAAGAGGGAACAAAACCTTGTTCACCTCTTGCTGCCTTTGATGGCTTGTTCTCACCTCTAGACACTGGAGAAAGAGAAGCCTTTCTGCAGAACACTTCCTCAGCCCTTCCCAAAAGCAGATGGGACACAAATCCTGGCACACCAGTCAGCAGTGCTGATTTCCTGAAGTAAATGCTGATATTTTCAAATGTCTTTCTTATCTCAAAAAAAAAAAAATAGTCACTTTGGACTAAATTAATCTCTGCTCTAATTCCATCACAGTCAGTGACTCCAGTAACGACATTTGTGTTTAATTAGGGACATAAACTGGTACTTACTATAAATTCACATTTTTCAGCGGGAGGTTTTTGTACACGTTGTCTACTTCGAGTTTCAGAGAATATACACAGATTTAATACATAACATTCTGAAGTTTCAGCAACAGGACATTTATAGATCTTTGATTGCAGTAAAGCAACCGAACTTCATTTCACAATCTGAATTTAATATGTGATATTATCTTAAGTAATGGCATATAATGTCATTACAATACGTAGTATCATACTGTGCATTATACATCCATTCCTGGAATTTGTGAGTTACCATAGCTGGCTTGTAGTGACTCTTTCTAGAGTTAATACTGCATACAACTCCAGCTGAAACCAACTGCCTGTTTCCAATGCCTTTGACTTTGTTAAACGTTCAGCATTAGATCATGAATTTCCAATGTTTGATTTCTATTTCATTCTTTTCAGCTGTTTTAATGCAATTCCTTTTGCTGATTCTGAACACAGATGGACAGACAAAAATCGTCTCTCCTAGCATGACAACTGTAACAAGCTCTAATCAAATTTGGTCAAGAATGTAGAAAGAAATATTAGAAGTTAAAATGAGCTGAGTCATAGTCCTTTCTGAGAAGCAGAACTTTCTTTCACTTCATTTAAATAAGCAAGTAAAAAAATCACTTGTTAAACCTGTCCAGAAATTATTTGCTAAAAGAATGACAGATCATAGGAAATGTCCCTAGCTTCTCTGACATTTCTATCCGAACTCTCTTATACCCTGGCATACTCTGTGGTTTCTCTTCTCTTACTATTGCTGGCAGAGTCTTTAGACAGTGTCTCAATTAAAAAATCATACTGGGGCTGATCAGAGGGAGATGAGGTAGGTCTCAATCATCTGCAGTCCCAATCCAGCAATTCTTTTAACCTGGAAGAACTGAGTGAAGAAAAAAAATGGTGTGTCCTGCTGCCCCAGGGAGACCCTGACAGAATTCAGAAAGCACTGGTGTCCTCACTTTGATCACAATTCTTTGTCACGGATTATTTTTCAGAGTGGAAGGATACACTCAGCAGAGCACCAAACTCCTTGTAATTATTTTGGAGTATTCCTATTTTAAACGCTCCGTATTAGAAGCACATTACAAGACCCCAGGGTGTGCATTACTGGGCAATTAAAGCGGTTCTTGGAAGGCTAACATTGCGAAGCTTCAGCCTTTTCTCTGCAGCGTGTCCAAGGGAGGCTGCGATGGCCAAGGAACACACACCCCGCTGTGCCGCGCCGCTTAATTAGCGCGGGTCTGCCCTGCTGAGCCACCGGCTGTGCCGGCGGGGGGGGCGAACTCGGGGCAGGGCTCAGTGAGGCAGTGACGCCTTCTCTGCACCAGATTGCTGCCTGCAAAAGGGCTCACCACCATCCCAGTCATGCCGGCATCAACGCATGCCTGAGGAAAAGAGGGAGAACACGGGATGGGAAAGAAGAGGCAGCTTTGGGCTCCTTGGTGACAGCCCCCGTGTAGCCAACAATATCCCACCTGGAGATTGGTGCTGCGCAGGCATAAAGATCTCTGAGCATGGCTTTGATTCAAATAGGAAGGAGTCTTACATTTCTGTGCGTGGGTCAAGACACAGCTGAATTCACAGTTGAGCAAAAGAAAGGAGGGGGTGGAATCTTTTTTGCACAAAGAAAGTTCAAAATGGAGAGCAAGCTTCATAGCGTGGTGAGGAAAAACAACCAAGGGATTTGGGGGGTGAAGGAAGGGAAACAGAAAATCTGATAGTTAGAGCCTAATCCGACTTAGGAAAAGGGCTTCAATTCCTTGCTCTGTCATGGACCTCTCATCAAGACTTTGGACAAATGGCATTTCTCTCTGTGCTCTGTTTCCTGCCTGAAGTGTGAAGATAGGAGCATCGCTGTGCCACCTGGGGCACCATGAGGACAGCTGGAAGAAGGAGTGAAGTGCTCAGGCTCTCTAATA